GCTTTCGCACTTGCCTCACCGGCCATGAAGCTCACTGCACATCACTGGTCCCTGCATACTTAGGACTGAAAGCAAACATGTGCTTCAAAATGACTAATGTTGCAAATGTAGCACCTGCCTGTAAATCTTTCAATCAGGCACATTTTCCCAAGACCATATGGTAGCCATACAAAACTTGAGAAAAGCTACTACTTCTATTTTAAGGATTTGCAAAGGGAGTCTTCTTCATCAACACAGTCCAAAATGCTGTCAGTCCTATTGCAAATTTTAAATATAAATTTTTCATACCAATCTAATATCATGCTAAAACTATGCTACATCCACCTGGGTAACAAAGACTGACTTGTTTAAAGGGAATAATACCTGGGAATTTAAATATCAAATGCATTTACATGAAATATTCTAATTAAATTTACACACATTTCTGACCATCTTTGTTTAATAATTCAAGTCTTGGTTTAGCTGACTTTAAACAGTTGTCAGCTGACGACTAAAACCAAAGAATGAAAGCTGGGTGTAATTATGGATTTTTACAGTATGTGCTTCTCAGCTATTTTAATACGATATATGTGGGCCTCCAAATCCCAAATTGCTTGTTCTTAACTTTCACTTTTATAAGAAAATATGTGCCAAAAATGAATCTAAATTCCTGAGGTTTTAGTGCCCTGCCCATTGTTTTTCATTGAAGAATATGATTTATTTGAAGTAAAATTATTTTGTTTGAAGCTTTGTGCTTATCCAGCTGTAATAATTGCAGAACAATATTTCATATAATCAAGTATTAAATTTGAAAGTTGGAGAAAATGTGATTTTTCTTGAAAAGAAAGTTTACCTTGAAGGAAGATATTGGAATGTTAAGCAGTTGATAATTTTATTTTTACTATTCAATAAGCACATCTTGTTTTGAAATGAATGTTAGTTAAATAATGGGGTTTCATATCTTGAAACAAACACTCCATCTAGTGTACAATTACCAATATTGCTTCTTAGTTTCTATTTTCTGCTGCCCATGAATTGTGAAAGGTTCCTAATCCATAGAAATTATTATTATGTTTTAGAAATAATTCCATATACACTTTCCCTGAATATTTTAAGGAGCGAGTTAGACACTAGGGAAGATTAAAAAGACACGAAACTTCAAAGAATAGTTTCTCAAATATTCCTGGTTAAAGGCTTGCTTTCAGAAAGGGTGGTTCTTCATATAGAAAGTTCTTCATGAATAAGCTTATTATGTTATCACCAAACAGTTAGGAAACAGTCTAAAAGCCTATTTAAAACACACACAAGTTATGCACTACTAAATTATTTACATTTACTGAGGATTTAGACAGGTTTAGGGGAGAATAAAACTAAGGGAGTCGTTTGCTGAAATACTGCAGCAGAAAAAGACCAGAAGCAAAGGGTTCCTGAAGCATCTTTGAGGAGTATAATAAGTGAACATTAAAAATGTTGACCAAATACTTGAATATATCACTGTTATAATTGATGATCTGCAAACCTCTGGGAATAAAATAAGCATGTTATGAGATTCATTCCCGGCATAGTCTCTATGGTAGTTTGGTATTGAAGGTGGTTTTCAGCAGGTTCTGACTCGTTCTGGAGAGCGGAAATTTTGAGTACTGCAAAAACATCCACCAATATGTTTGCAGTGAAAGTGAAAGTATTATTAATGACACTGAGGATTAGTAGGCTTTTTTACACAGGCTAATTTGTGTTGGTTTATGACAAGAAAGTCCTGTCTGACGATGCTAATATTGGCTTTCAAATATCATGGTGACACTCTTTGTACTACTCATACATATAAGACTTGAAGAAAACCGATACATAAGGCATTACATATTATTGGTTGTCTAAATTATGTTGGTTTAATAAGAAGAGAGCAACTTGTAGGGCTGCCATTGAAAGTCACGGTGAACCCAATTCTTATAGACCAATGAAGAGTACGAGCAACTCTTTTTAAAAGTAAGTTAACCAAAATATTTGTATAATTGTTCATGACAATAGTATACTACTTTCTGAGACCATAAAATTAAATACGTATTTCTATAGCATAACAGTGACTTTGTAAAACTGATTAGATTTCTTGAGTAATCTTACTATTTCTTCTTTGAAAAATTTGGTCCTCTATCAAAAGAGCATTCCTAATTTGAAAAATATCAATACAGGAAACCAGATTTTAAGGGAATTTGGGTATTTTTCTTACAGATACTGGCCCTTTTGCGCTAGATTTTGTAATAGTACATTTAGGCTCCAATCATAGGCATTCTTGTATAAATTGGAGAAAACTGTTCTGACCTCGGTTTCCCCAGCAGCACAAAGCTGAGTCTGAGTCCTGATAAACCCGTTTTATTTAATTTACAGTGAATTCCTCTCCAGCAAAGTTCCGGCCCACAATCTTTCATGGTAGTTCCCAATTACCGACCTTTATCAGGTTTGGAGAGTGGTCAGGCCAATATTTTTCAGACGCTGCAATACTTGGCAAGAATGCAGGAATGAACTAATTGTCTCCTGCAAACACCCTCCCCTATTGCTCCTCTTTTATTCCCTATGGGAGGGAGCATATACCGTCCCCACCTGTGGCTTTACTCCCAAGCTGACCCTTGTTCTTTAGCGGTTCCCTTCATCTGGCAACTGTACATGCGCACACTGGGAACAGGTTCCAGCTGTTCATCTGCCTCACTGATGTCTGACTCCGAAGGCAGCTGATAACTGTCAGATGGCCCTGGTCCCATCTCTGCCTCCGATACAAAGCACTCATCAGAGCCTTCTTCCGACTCCAGGACTGGCCCATGTTCCTCCTTAACTTCCTCACTGTCTGAATCTGCCAGCTCTGCTGGCCGCTGTCTGGCCACAACAAAAACTCATCCTCACAAGACAGAGTGTGCCTGTGATCTGGATAATGTGTTTTTATTTCCCCACACTTAAACATGGCCTCTCAATCTTGTAGGGCAGTGTTTCCCAAAGTGTGGTACGCGTACCCCCAGGGGTACGGGAAGAGTTTGGTGGGG